TATATATAAGGGCTATCGTATATATAACAACTCGTTGTTACGTAGATGTATCGAGTTTTAGTGGTGGTCGCACGTAAAATCGGTGTTTTCGCGAAAAGTTGATTTTCCATCTTGGCGGGGAGTGTCACTAACGGCCACCTTACATCGCTAACCCTAATTAGTAAGTGGGCCAGCAAGGCTTGCGCTTGTGCTCGTGCCGGTGAGGGCGGTGGGCGTCGTCTTTCTTCCTCTAGCATGATGCTGGGAGTCCAGAGTCCAAGACGCCCCAATCGAGGCGGCCGATGAAGCAAAAATGGACGGCGGGAGGAGGAAAACATCGATCCCAAGAGAGTGGACACGGGAGGAATCCATCCATCGTATCGGCATCGCGTGTGCTGCCTTCCGCCACCCGAAGGAGCCCTTGTAGAAATGGAAGTACCCAGTTATAGCTTTGTAGTGGGGGGCGTGTGTGGAAAATGTTCTCTGCGAAGTACGGAGAGTAGAAATACTTCGTACTTTGGAAGAGGCTAGCAGAGTAGAGCAGAGCTAGCAGCACACCGACACTCAGAGTAGGGTCGCTCTGGGGACGAGTAGCGGGGAAGACGCTGATGCCACTTGGCTGATCTATTCTTTGCGGGTTTGGATAACCTCATGCACTGGTAACCTAACCAACCCAAAGAGGGTGCTAGCGATGAAGCCCTTGCAATCGCATGAACACCAACATGACTGTACGAGTACCCAAGTACGCCGTACCAAGTCTTCATACATGGCAATGAATTGACATGACATCGCAACGCATTCTGTCACGTCATCCAGAGATATCAGGTTTGACATCTACACTAGAGTACGTAGGTACGGAGGATGAGTACGGACACCGACGACACTGACAGGGAGCTGGAGCGATGCAGCGTATGCAGAGCGATGTCGATGTACGAAGTAGAGCCTCAGGGTGGTGTCTGAAGCTCATTTAGGAAAGCTTCCAGAAGCCTTCTAGCGTCATGCGAGCAGGCATGTGCAACCCACCCAAAGCCCACTGAAGCCCACTGAAGCCCACTGAAGCCCACTGAAGCCCACTGAAGCCCACTGAAAGCCCACTGAAAGCCCACTGAAAACCCACTGAAAACCCACTGGAGCCCACTAAAGCCTAAAGCCCAAAGCCCACCAGACCTCAAGCCAAGGCCTCCTGGCGCCACCAGTCTCACCATCCCACCACCCGACTGCTTCAGGCACCAGGGGGGGGAAATGGATGAGTGAGAACCTTGAATGCCCCTGACGGCAGTTCCTGTTGGTGTTGCATCAAACACATCAACCACCGGTCCCATGAGCCGTTGACGGTGGATCTGCCTTGCTGATCTGTGCTGTTGCAGAGTCCCAGGGCCATCCTCGCCCCCTTTTTTCATCTCCCCCCCGAAAATCATCTCCTGGAATGGTACTTGTAAAGCACTTGGTGGTGTAACGGATGGTGACTAAACCTCGCCTCGACTCGCCTCGAGCGAATGGAACGACGGTCTGGGTAGAGTCCGGGGAATGCCATGAGAGTTGGAAGCCACCTACGGTACCAGTACTCGAGTACGGAGTATTTCGTACTGAGTACTGTAAGATCTTACTCGTACCTTTTCCAGGAAGAAATGAAAGACCTTGAGTTCTGGATTTGGCGAGAGTCTTTTTATGAACACTCCCCCCAAGGCAGCGCAGAGAAAGGCGGCACCGACTTTCATGCGAAATTTCAGATCACCGACAAGCTGTACTCGTACGAACGGTGGGATCCAATTCTCACGATCGGCATTCGCTTGGATGAGATATGAGATTTGAGATTTGGCGCAGCCTCTTCTCTTCTGCAAGATCCGATGTGCTGAGGAGCAAGCATGACCATCTGTAGATGCGGGATGTGATGTTGTTGCACAGGTGTTTGCCGGAATCCCCACGTTTCTGTTTCTTGCTGGGCGACGGGAGCGAGGTCCTGGTCGGCGGGCGGTAAGCTGTGATATGCCCCCGATCTAAGCTTGCACTGGTACCAAGTAGAAGTACGAAGTACTCTTGAGAAGAAGAGAAGGTGAAAACAGCCTACTCGCGCTTCCGTATGGTAGTCGGCGGCCTACGAGTACAGTACAACTGTACACAATTAGACACGCTCGAGCCCGTTTAGACCTCGTCAAGATCGCCATCGCCCCTTTTCGTTTCATCCTCTCAAGCACAACATTCGCAGCAGAGAACATCATGTTCTGGGGCAGCAAACATCTGCAATCAATTGGAGATTTGGTGGTTCGAGATCCATAAACAAAGCACCGGTATGATAACCACCGGCCCGCTTGGGTCGAGCGGTTTTGGGTAACAGTTGAAAACATGTTGCACAGACTGAAAAGTGCGTGGACAATATCTGGAAGCCATGACTTGACGGTCAGCGGAAAACAGACTTCATGTTCCTTTCGTAATGCGAGAAGAGCGAGCTATTTTGGACCCTCAACATTTCTCCATCGGAAGAATGCCCACTCGGATCATTGGTTGTTCTCCCTCTACTTCGTACCTCGTACAGTACGAAGGAATACTGCGATTCTCGAAAAGACCCCACGAGGCGGTGTCAATCAAATAATCCGTCAGTCCTTGGATTTCTAGAAGTAGAAGTTGGCCCTTGAAGAATGAAAGGGGAGAGGTTAGCAGCAGAGCTTCCCATTGGCCATCCAATCCAAGCACGGAAATATATCGGTTGAAAAGCGTCCCAGGTTGATTTCATAACTTTATTAAGCGCCTCAGATAATTTGCAAGAAGAGGATCCTCCGTAACGGTACGAAAGCGCACGATGCGGCCCCGGCGGGGCGGAAGGTTGAGGATGAAATTGAGGTTGATAATCAACCAGACATGATTTTCCGGGTGTCCCAGCGTGCCGCTACGGAGTATTGGCTGCAGGGACATGGCATCCTCGCCAGAATCGCACTGCCATGGACTATTGCAATACAGTGTGTGTGTGTTTCTTGAAGACGTCGAGCACTTTGTGGTTATCAAACACTCTGCAAAGGCCTCTTTGTGGCGTTACAGCTTTCAATTCGAACTTTCTCAGGTTGTTCTGTGGCTTGCACTTTATCTGCACTGGCGATGATGGCTCACCCGCCAAAGATGAGGTACTTACAAGTACATCATGTAGCGTCGCCGCGCAGTCGAACCCGGAACTACATGACTGTGCTCTACTGGTAGGGACTTGGTGTGACTTGCATGCCACTTTCTGACATTACAACGAACTGAAGAATGCCTATAGTATCTGCTCAAGCTTAAACGACCCAGTAAAAGTGTATATACGGCTTCGCACTGCAACTTTTGACAGCAGGATGGAGACTTGTGTAGCTAGACATCCCGAAGCAAGTCGCAATCGCAAGAGGTGTAACTATAGACAAGGTTTTAAAGCGAACTGTTACTTGATAAAAGTAGCTCACTCGCCTCGCGCTTGTTTCTCACAAGACAAGCTTCTCTCTAACCCCTTTGAGTAGTCATAGGGACAGGCTTCTCGAGTAGGGATGGACTGTGACGAGTCAACACGTCCCAAGCGTGGAGTGATTGCTGACTTCTCGAGGTATGACAAAAACACCAGGATGGCGAAGAGGAGGAGAGGAGGAAGTCCCTCTCCCCAGTTCTGTACGCCGTGAAGGGATACGTTCCGAGGACGACTGCAGGATGGTGTTCGTCTGTACTACCATGAATCCATGCTTGTTGATCCACGAAATTGCACTCAATGGCTGCAAACCCCGACGTCAGTCAGCTCGAAAAGGACAGACCAAACGTCCAAGAAGAATGGACAGAAGAATAGACCAGCAGGTTGTTTTCCTACGGGTGCAATTGGCTCCTTTCCCAACGACTCACACGCTGTGGTATCGAAGTATCTCATCGGTACCGTAGTGTCAGGGGAACACCCCGCTGATGATACACGTTAGCGTACGGCACGCGGAGTGCATTTAAAGGACACTTCCAGGTCGTTGTCCGCGCTGACGACGAAGGGAAATATTGAGTCTGATTCATCGTGCTTTTCTATACCGCCTAGAGCCGATTTTGCTGGGGAGTGCTAGGGAGTGTTTGGAGGGGAGGCTGGAGGGTCGGGTTCCTCGCTAAGGTACCCATGTGTTTGCTGGATGAGTCCTCGGTCCCACAGCATGGTTGAAGTCGTTTGTGCTCCGTGCAGAAAAGTCGGTGCAGGCATCTCAGATTCTTCGAGTGTTCCTTGCCAGGGGCCAAACCTTCTAGAAGAAACATGGGAGGGCCACACGGTGCAATCCGCGGAGCCAGTGGTGCAGCAGTGCAAGCATTGCAGCAGCTGGCAGTGGAGCCCTGGAGGCCCTTGAAGCCCTTGAAAGTCCTTGTCGGCATGGGAGGAAAACGCTAAGACCAGCATGAATCAATGCCCCGTCGTTCGAGGACCCAGCCTGAACTCTTTGCCCTGTCTCCCCTGTCTCCCGGGACCCCCAGTGCTCCCAATTTCCATGAGCAGGCTCTGAGCAGCGAGCTGTGAGAGTCGTCTGCAATCTGCGTGCGGTCATAAGAATGCTGAGGCTCCCGGTGCTCATTGATTGCCGCCTCTCCTTGATCGAAGCGCCTTCTATTTTCTGTGCTCTCTTGCTGCTACTGCTGCTGCTGCTGCTACGAATAGTGATAGTGTCCAGCCAGTGCCTATATTCTCAGCACCTATTACAGGCACCTGTTGCTACTTTGTACGACCGACCAGCGATAGGTACACGCTCACGCTCACGCTCACGCTTACGCTCACGCTACACTCCGTACTGCTAGTCTGCTAGTCTGCTACCCGACAAGGTATTACCTACCGACCTCCGACCTACCGAGTCCCCAACTCTCACACAACCCTGCCCGGCAGAGGGAGAAGCACCTGCACCGCACCTGCATCAGCAGTGCTCAGTTCATCAACTGCCCCCTCGACTCACTCAGGCACTCACTCACTCTCCTACCTCACCATCACAACCCTCTTCACCTCTACAGCTTCACTACCCCGTCGTCGACTCCCCTCATCCTTCTCGACCGACAGACTCACTTGTTGACTCCCGACTCCTTTGTTGACCCCGTGCCAATTCAAGTTCCAAGCGCACCTGCAAGCCCAAGCCCCCAACCCCTTTCCCTGTCCCCTTTCTGCCAGCGCATTCCTGCCTCAGGCATAGCTCCGCTCAGGCACGCACATCTCCACCGCGTCTCCATCCGCATCCCCAGCTCGCCGCCGCCCTGAAAAAAAAATAGGAAGGAAGGCTTGGTAGGCAAAAAGTCACCAGGTACCTACTTCTGAACTTGGTCCGTTCTTGCACAACCACCACCACTACTACCACCACCACTACCACCACTTGCAACCCACGAGAAAGTTTCCCTATCTCACCCTACCCGTCTTGGGTCCTGGATTTCCTCCTGCCCTCAATCCAAACCTCCCATACCTCCTCATCCCCATCGCTCATCCGCACTCCCCTTTGACCACCGAATCCTGCTCGTACCAAGCACTTCCACTACGGTACTCACCACCGCCGGCCTTTCGCCTACGCCACACACATCCACATCCCACAGCGTCGGTCTCTCCGCTAGGATCGCGTTCCGGTCTTCGCCCTCACCCCATCAATCCATTTAGTTGTCGGAAGCTTCACAGACCCTACCTTGACCACCTAGTGCAATTTGTTGCCCAGGACGTCCAGATCCTCAATTTCTCACCAAACTCAACACCACGCAGAGATACGGAGCCCTCAACACTTTCTGGACGTGTTTGCCCTGCCGGAGTGAATTCAAATTCCCATCCGAGCCACTCCGTCAAGACTTGTCAATAGTCCAATGTTAGTGAATATCAACACTCGGTCGCGTTTGGTTTCGTTTCGCAGAATATCCACTAACCCACACAGTCCGTCCTCCAGTCTCAAAGCCATCAAGTCACCCTCGATTCGCAAAACACAATCGCGGCGCTCGATTTCCTAGACTCGACACAACCTCAAACCCCGTCCTCTTTATTCCACGAGGAAAATTCTTCGATTCCACCACCCTTCGCCCGTCAGGAAACTGGTCAACATACCTGGCTCAGTCTTCCCTTTGATAATCACAAACACATTCTGTAACAAGGTGATATCGACAGCGAGAATTCCCTGTGCGCTTGGTCAAATCGGGTTCGAGATTGACACGGTCCTGACGTTGGTTGCTACTCTGTACAGTCGACAGGTCAGTTCATCAGACGAACCTCTGGCTCCTGCCTCCAACACTGCACCCATCCGCCTGGTATCATCAAAGAAGGAAACAATTGTAGGGATTGGAGTTTCTCTCAGTGACACTTGATCCAGCCTCTGGTTCCCGCCAATTATTTGGGTCTCATCCCATTGCCTCTTCATCTCCATAATATCAGTCTCTAGACCTGAAAATTTTCAATAATTTGCCTCGCTGCGAGACTTTGAAAGACTTCAAAGTTTCAGCAGGAGATTAGTCAAATCTAATCTCTAGTCCAGATCGCCCGTGCGCACAGAATTCCATATTCGTATACCGGCATCCACATTGGCAGGACAGCAGAACTCAGCCAGGTCAGTCTAACTATTATTCGTTGTCAACCTCCCTACTTCGAGTTGAGGTGTCCGGGTGGATGCATGTTCACATACTATCCACTCTCTCTGGCCTATGTTGTTCATTGAAAATGCGAGAATGGGCGGTGAACCGGTGCGGCTGGACCCCAGCCCGGAATTTCTGCCCGCTGTCACAAGTAGCTATGCTATAACAAAAGACTGACATTTGCAGAGCAGGACCTTTATTTGAGAGAAACTACTTGCACCTGAAACTTTCAGCTTCACCGAAATTTTTGTTTTTGCCTCGTGATAATAGTAGGCGTTTGGCCAATAACGCTGTCGCGAGAATTTCTTGTTCACGCACTGTGAATTGCCCTTCAACCCAACAGCTGCCTCCCGAGACATTGCCCGGCTTCGAGACATTGCCCGGCTTCGAGACATCGCCAGATTCCCGAATCTGGCCTTGAAAAGCTGGACGAACGCTTGATCCAAGCGTCCAACCTCTTCTAGAGAAGTTCATTCTTCTTTGCCTCTTCCGCCATATCTGCGCGGACCCCAAAACCGTACTCGCTAGTATGGACATTAAGCAAATCGTGAATTCGAAAGGAGGAAAAGGCGCAGCTGCAGCCGCTGCCGCAGCAAACGGCTCTCCCCAAGATTTACAACTTCTACAACAAATTCAACAACAGGTTAACAACATGCCCATGTCAGACGCAGGCTCTGAACGAGCCAATTCGCCACATGATTCCGAGCGCTCACACTTCTCCGCTCCTCGTTATGGCCCTCGCATGAATGGAATGAATGGGGGCTCCCCAGGAGGCATGCGATACCCATCTCCAACCGCCATGCAAAGCCCGATGCCCATGATGCAACAGCCATATCAACAAAATGCCAATTTCCAACCTATGATGCAACAAGAAAATACCCGACCACCGCGTCAAACTGGTGATGGAGCTCCAAAGGCCTTTCCCTGTAGTACTTGTGGTAAGGGGTTTGCGAGAAGAAGTGATTTGGCGAGACACGGTAAGCTCTACATCTTCTACATCTCCCACATCCCCGGATCGAGGCTGATACTGATTCTGCCTAGAACGCATTCATACTGGGGTACGGCCACATGTTTGTGACCATCCTAATTGTGGCAAGCAATTTATCCAGCGCTCTGCCTTGACTGTTCATATGCGAGTACATACTGGAGAGAAACCTCATATGTGTGAGAGATGTGGAAAGGTAAGCCTCGGCCAATGTTCTCTTTCCAATGACCTTACTGACCATCCACAGCCTTTTAGTGACTCCAGCTCTCTAGCGCGCCATAGGAGAATCCATTCGGGAAAGAGACCTTACAAGTGTCCTTATGCAGATTGCCAAAAGACCTTTACCCGACGAACCACCCTTACCCGTCATCAAAACCACCATACAGGGACCGTTGAGGAGGCAGCAGCTGCCACTGCCGCAGCTTTGGCTACTCGCAGTAATCACCCGGGTCGTCGCTCTGATGGTGAGCCATACTCGAATACCGGCTCTCCATTGTCAACCCCGTCGCCTTTGCAACGAGGTCAAACTGCTTCTCCCAACTCGGAGCTAGCGCCTTTGAACCAGGGAATGCCACGTCATCCACAGGAGTACCAATACATGAACAACAGCCCGCTGCCAGGTCACTTGCGGGGGGAATACCACATGGCCAATCAACCACCGCCAACCACGGCCTCATTCGCCAATTCCATGCGCCCAACATCCCACCCCAATGGTTATGGACCACCGTCCGTCTTGGAGCCGCCTTCTCATGATCGTCAAGGGGGAAGTACAAATGGAAGTGTCAATGGTAGCCCTCACATGAGCAACGCTGGCTGGGCATCTCCTTCGCATAGCATGCCCTCTCCCTCACAAAGCAGCAGCTATGTCTACCCAGACCCAGATTATGGATCCGCTGCGCAGATGGGTCAAATGTACTACGCCAACTCCAACGTACGAAGACCGCAAAGTACTGAACCAGATGGATACGAGGTCAAGCCTAGAATGACGGAGATGTGGGCAGGAGCTCAGTAATAATACACATCAGCGAATTAATTCCCACGGAAATTCTCTGGAGCATGTTCTCCTTGTGTCACTACGTTTGACCACGAACTTTCCAACATTCTCCAAAAAATTGTGTTTGATACCCCTGTACATCTCCTTATTTTATCCTATGGAACACGCAGGTCATAAACTTCACATCTTCTGAGTCTTTGGCGTCAAAATGGGGCGCATTGCATACATACAGGTCATACCACACCTCCAAAAACGGCGTCGTACTTCTCCTTTTTTCCCCAATAGATTGTGCTTGTCTTTTTTTCCTCTTCTCCACCTTTTCGTGGGTTTCGGGTTGATGGTGGTGGATGATCATGGTATTGAATCGCTACTCACTGGACCTGAGAACTCCCTCTTTGAGTTGATAAAGATTGCGGGATACGCTAGCTGCGAGGCTACGAAGTTAATGATTTTTGTCCATTTGCCCAGTTTTTTTCCCTCTCTCTCTCTCTCTCTCTCTCTCATTTTGATGCATGGACTGAATTCAATGGTGGCTGGCTATTCCTCGTTTTGCTCCTGGGACTTTTGCTGTGGGGAAGGGGGAGGAGAGGGGGTGTGTTTGTGGTATTGGGTGGGGATAAGCTAAGCTACATTGGCTTCTGAGTGGTTTGGGAGGAGAAGAGGAGAGAGGGGGTATAGTTGATAGATAGGTGATGAGCGAGTCGGTTAATTGCCTGAATTCAATCTTTCTAGTAAAATTCAGTGAAATTATTATATTATGCTTTGCTTTGTTTGATTCTTTGGTTTGTTGTGATGTGTAGGTAGGTGAAGGTGGGAGGGAGGGGNATTATATTATGCTTTGCTTTGTTTGATTCTTTGGTTTGTTGTGATGTGTAGGTAGGTGAAGGTGGGAGGGAGGGGGGAGGGAGGGGATTGTATCTTTGTTTTGTTTTGGTTTGTCGTAGGCCTTGGGTTTGGAGGGATATTTATTTGGAGTTGGAGTTGGAGTTTGTGGTTTATTGTAGGGGGGGAGGTAAAAGGGGGGTATATTGAAGGACTCCTTTTTTTTATTTTTTAGAGGGGGTTAGGAGGGAAAGGGTAAGATATAAGATATAAAGAGGCTTCTTACTCTCTCTATAAAAACAGCGTGGTAAATTCTAGTAGTTGAGTTAAGTAGTAGTATTTACTTAATTTAACTCGAGTAGTTTAAACTAGGTAGGTAGCTAGGTAGGTAGGTAAGTAAGTACTAATTAACTCAACTAAGTTAACTTACTATATACTTAGCTTAATTTATTAACTTATAAATAACTGTAACGAATACTCAAACTGGCTAACTAAACTTGGCTGGGTGTTCGCTGGTTGGTATGCTATGATAAGAAGAAGACTATCGGGTTGTTCACTTGGAAGTGAACTCGTTACTTGTATCAAAGATGTCAAACTAATATGATAAGATTGATAACTAAGTTGAGCACGAAGCTCCTATCTAATGGCAGACGTGCCAGTCTTATATAGAACCTTCGTTCTCCAAATGTCGTTCTACTCGATCGACGTGCTGCGACAGCTCGCTTGTGCGCGCTGTCGCGCTTCCATCACGTGACTATGAATGCTATGAAATCCTTGGATACTCAACAACCCTAAGTAACCACTGCTATGGTATAACTACTCTGGTTGTATCTGTCCTGTCAGAACGCCGTCTGGACTAACTCGTCGCATGCTAACACGTGATTCGTGACACCTTGCCCCGGTAGTTCAACTACTCGTATTATACCTGCCCTTCTCTATATAGGTACCGTATAAGCGATAGTAGTTATATAACCGAGTATATTTAAGTTAGATAAAGCCTACTTTTTTAAGGGGACATTTAGTAAGCCTTAGAGAAGGAGTATATAAGGTAGGTAACCTTTAAAAAAATTTATAATAACTTAACTTATATTAAATAATATATTTAATAATATTTAAAAAGTACTAAATTAGAGATTCTTTATACCGAGCTTCCTACTAGTTAAGTAACTACTAGGGGGTTATTATAGAATCGATTAAATAGTACTTATAGAGACCGACACTATCTCTAATATAAAAGGGAGCTACTTAGCTATATCTATACTATAAAATAGCTAAAAATCATATTCTACTAACCCTAACTTCTAGCCCTAACCTTAACTCTAACTAAACCCTAACCCTAACCCGTTCATATTTTTATTTCTAATCCTAATAGTAAAAAAATAGTAGGTATTATAGTAGTATTTTAGTAGTAGAGAAAGAATAGAACGTTTTATAGTAGCTTATATATAAGTTATATATATATAAGTACTATTTAATCGATTCCGTTACTATTTAGTATTTATAGTAAACTACTCTAAGTACTACTTAAGTACTTAAATTAGCTACTTAACTTAACATAATATTATCTACTACTTATACTTAACTTAGTGTCACGAATCACGTGCTCACGTGATACTTGTCATAATAAAGAGGCGCAACCCTCGACAGGCACGTCCAGGTTTCTTATAGGAAAATAGGGACGCTTAGGCTAGCTAAGCGGTCCAGGGATTTCCTTTGGTTACTGTCACATGATCGACTGGCATCAGAGGTGGTCGGCCTGACGACCTCTGAGGAATCAGAAAGGATTAGTGTCACGAATCACGTGCTCACGTGATACTTGTCATAATAAGAGGCGCAACCCTCGACAGGCACATCCAGGTTTCTTATAGCAAATAGGGATCGTTTGGAGTAGCTAAGCGATCCAGGGATTTCTCCGTATTGTTGTCACGTGACCAGTAGTGGTCGCTTGGTCACGAGCGACTACAACGGCCAGGTCGTCTTGGTCGCGGCGACCAGCAGCGATCATGGGAATGAGAGTTCTATATAGGACTGGCACGTCTGCCATTAGATAGGAGCTTCGTGCTCAACTTAGTTATCAATCTTATCATATTAGTTTGACATCTTTGATACAAGTAACGAGTTCACTTCCAAGTGAACAACCCGATAGTCTTCTTCTTATCATAGCATACCAACCAGCGAACACCCAGCCAAGTTTAGTTAGCCAGTTTGAGTATTCGTTACACCTTAATACGTTTTCCGGGTTAATTTAATAGTAGAATATATAAACTATAAGTAACTAGATCTTTTATATCTTATTATATATCTTTTAGTATTATAGGGGGTCTCTAATAAGGAAATTAAGATATTAAAAAGTTAATATTCTACTTTCTATAAGCGATAATTCACGGAGCTCCTAGCTATAACTAAGGGGATAGAAAAGAAGTAGCGGGGAGAACTTTAGAGGGGAGATACTATATACTACTTTTATACCTTATTGTCACGAATCATGTGCGCGCACGTGATAAGTGAAGACCAGGCGGCTGTAACGAATACTCAAACTGGCTAACTAAACTTGGCTGGGTGTTCGCTGGTTGGTATGCTATGATAAGAAGAAGACTATCGGGTTGTTCACTTGGAAGTGAACTCGTTACTTGTATCAAAGATGTCAAACTAATATGATAAGATTGATAACTAAGTTGAGCACGAAGCTCCTATCTAATGGCAGACGTGCCAGTCTTATATAGAACCTTCATACCCCGCGTATGGTCCGAGTATAGAGTAGTATAAGCCTCCCTTATACTTCCTCATACTCCCTAGTCACATGATCTTCTGTAAGGAAGAAATCCTTGGATCGCCTAGCTACCCTAAGCGATCCCCATTTGCTATAAGAAATCTGAATGTGCCTGTCGAGGGTTGCGCCTCTTATTATGACAAGTATCACGTGAACACGTGATTCGTGACATAAGGCTAATCTAGTATAATACTCTTATCTCGATATAGATTTTTCCCTCGTTCCTCGGATCCCTAGAGACTCTTATACTAAGATTATATTAAGGCTATAATAGTACTAGTACTAGTTTATACTAGATAGTACGCTCTAAAAAGGAGTATATTAAACTTAATTACTAGTAAAAGTATAAGAGTAAAAGTTCTATAGTAAACCTGCTTGTGACAGACGTGCTTCAGGTAGAACTCAGAACAATTAACACTCTATTCTTAGGACAAAAGACCAGGAAAGAAGGAGAGCTCGAGAGAGCTGGGAACTAAATACAGGTCGTGCACGCTAGCGCCTCGCTAAGCGAGCATGTGACATCCAGCCCTCGTGACCATAACCGCCACACTGCTACGCTTATAATAAATATATTAATTATTTTTATAAAAGAAGGCTATTATCTTATAGTTTTTACTAAATATAGCTAAAACTACTTAAAATATAGGGTTCTATTAGATCGCTTAGTACTTTTAGTACTACGCTTAGGCTATGAGGCTCCTAGCTATAGCTAAAGGAATATAATCTCTATTTCTATTTTTATAAATTAGAGCGCTCTCTTTCCTACTCCAATCCTAAGTCATTAGTACTCCTTATCCTCGCTAGGGTAATAGATAGAAGTAAGCGGGAGTACTTCTAAGGCTAGGTATTATAGGTTTTAGTAGATCTAAAATAGGTTTGAAATATAGTAGTAAAATAGGTAGAAATTGGTATAAACACTACTTCGAATATAACTAAAAACTCGCCTATATTATAACTAAAAGTTTAGGATCTATTAGGTACTAGAAAGTTAGCGTTTTTCGGGAATTTAGTATATTTTAGCTTAATTAATTCCTCTACTAAATCTACTAAATATTCTATTATATATTTTATTATATATTCTATTATATATTCTATTGTATATTCTATTGTATATTCTACTATATAATCTACTATATAATCTATCTAAAACTCTCCTTTTTAATATACCTAGTTTCAATAATAGAACCTTCTTTAGTAAGAATAAACTTCTATATAATATAGCTTTCTCGGCTATATTTATACCTTATCTAGTAAATAATAATAATTCTAATTTATGACTATCTCTAATACTCTTATAGTTATAACCTATATTTATTAATATACTAGAATGTAGTAAAGAAAACCTAGTATATAATAATCTACTAAGCATAAAAGATAATACTATTTTAATATCTTCTATCTTAACTCCTTTATATACTAGTAATACACTAACTCATATAAACTTTACTTATAAACCTATTACTCTAGAGTAATTAATTAAGGCTAAATTAAATATTAAATATACCTTAATAATTAACTCAATTCTATAAGTTTTAAAGGTTAAAATTAGTAAGAATTAACATATACTTTAGAAGACCTTTACTCTTAAAACCTCGAAAAAGATAGCCTAGTACTAGGAGTATAAAATAAAGCTTTTTATATACCGAATAATTAGTTTCCTATTCTCTTTTACCTTTAGGTAATCTTTACTAAATTTCCTAGCTAAAACCTAGAAGAAGAAACCTAATAGAAATTAATTCTTTTTGTAATATAAGTACTATAAGAACGTTTAGAACTTAAGTAATAATACTACTAATAAAGAATAATACCTTCTAAGAGAGTATAGTATATTAAAGTATAGTAGAAAAATACTAAATATATTACTCCTTTAATATAATTAAGGCTCTAATACTATTATTTAAAGTAATAACGTTATAAGAGAGTAATTACTCTAAGTAGAAAGAGAGAGGTATATAAACCTTGTAATAGTAGTTTAATTAATTCCTTTTTAAAGGTTCTTATTACTTAGGTTATACTGTAGTAGCTAGCGCTATTACTTATAATTAATAACCTTTTTATTAAGTTCTTTTAGATAGTATTACCTAGTACTAAGAAGCTAATTCCTAGGTATAGTAAGACTATTTAAGGCTAGATTATTAATATATTCGAGAAAAAGAAAGTAAAGTGTCACGAATCACGTGCTCACGTGATACTTGTCATAATAAAGAGGCGCAACCCTCGACAGGCACATCCAGGTTTCTTATAGCAAATAGGGATTGCTTAGGCCAGCTAAGCGATCCATGGATTTCCTTTAGTTACTGTCACGTGATTGATGGGCATCAGAGGTGGTCGGACTGACGACCTCTGAGGAATCAGGATCGATCAGGGCGATGAGCACTGATCCGCGAGAACGAAGGTTCTATATAATACTGGCACGTCTGCCATTAGATAGGAGCTNCCAGGTTTCTTATAGCAAATAGGGATTGCTTAGGCCAGCTAAGCGATCCATGGATTTCCTTTAGTTACTGTCACGTGATTGATGGGCATCAGAGGTGGTCGGACTGACGACCTCTGAGGAATCAGGATCGATCAGGGCGATGAGCACTGATCCGCGAGAACGAAGGTTCTATATAATACTGGCACGTCTGCCATTAGATAGGAGCTTCGTGCTCAACTTAGTTATCAATCTTATCATATTAGTTTGACATCTTTGATACAAGTAACGAGTTCACTTCCAAGTGAACAACCCGATAGTCTTCTTCTTATCATAGCATACCAACCAGCGAACACCCAGCCAAGTTTAGTTAGCCAGTTTGAGTATTCGTTACATAAAGGTTAAGAAGCGCCTACTTTATATAAAAAGTAAGATTAGCCTATCTTTTAACTTATAAACGTTGCTAAATTACTTAGTATTAATAAGCGTTATTATATATTATATTAATAAAAGTAGTATAAATTAGTTAGTAAGTTAAGCTTTAACTTTACTAAGACTAGAAAGTATACTATTTTTATAATACTATAAGTTATACGAGGAGGTTAATATAGGAATAGATAGGTAATAGATACTAGGAATCATTAGCTAATAATAAAATAATAAAATCTAGGATTTTTTTATATAAATCATTCTAATATAATCCCGAAATAATCCCGTTAGAATAATTTAGGCTAAATAGGCGATTAAGTATAAATGTTTAGCAGTACGTCGATACCTAGTTAGGATTTTTTGGATGGGTAGTTCTATGTTAGGGGTTTGGGAGAGGTAGAAGGAATAGTAGAGAGAAGGGGAGGGGGAAGGGGGAGGGAAGGGAAGAGGGAGAAATGAAAGAAGGGAGGAGTAAGAGGGTTAGGAAGTGAGAGAGCTAGGAAGTAAGGGAGTTAGTAAGTGAAATAGTAGGGAACTAAAAGAGAGTAGTAAACTAAGGATATAGTAAGAGAGGAGGAAGTAAGAGAGTAGGGAGGAAGGAAGTAAAGAAGTAAAGAAGTGAAGGAAGAAGTGAAGGAGTGAAAAGGTGAAGAGGTGAAGAGGGGACGAAGTGAAGAAGTGAAGAAGTGAAGAAGTGATAACAAATAAAGTAATAAAGTATTATTATCTGTCTTACGCCGCTAGGCGTAAAGCCTACCCTAAGGGTATATAGTACCTTTACTAATTAAATCTAGCTAAGTCTACAAAAAGAGGTAAAAAAATAATAAGAAGATAAAGTAATAAGAAAGAAGTGCAGAAATAAAGAAGTATAGAAGTAAAGGAAATAAGAAGTAAGACTTAGGTATTAGATACTTATTAGGAGCTAATTACTCTACTTTACTTCACTCTACTTTACTTCACTACTTGTACTAGTACTAGATAACCAATGAATAAACTACTAGCGTCTCCTCCTACCCTACTCTTAAATCTAAATTAACGCCGAGTAGTTTTCCCACTTTTTCGCTTTAGTTTTCCTCGTTAAACAAAGAAATAAAATGGTATTCATTTAGACAATGCTATTCTAATATATAATCCAAGATACTCAAAGAAAGCACTTCTCTCTATTTATAGAAAAAAAAAACACACGAGAACTATGCCATTTATAATATACAAAAACACTAGAGCACTATTAGAAGTAACCTTCCACACTATTAACCACACCACAGCCCTCAAAACACCACAGAGAGACTAACCTCAAACTCTACTTTCCTTATCAAAAACCCTTACCAAGTTCATCCTCACAGCAACCCCTTCCCCCCCAAAATGTGCACCCAAACACTTTTCACCAACTACTCACTCTGCAAATGCCCAGGCGCAGACTTACTAAACCCCTGCAACAAGCCCAAACATCTAGTCCCAGAAATAAGCGAGCACGTCACGTCCGAAGGATGTATATACTACTCCACAAAAACCGTAACGCGCTTCGACGAACTAGGTATCAAAGTCTATATTATCGACACCGAGGACGTGACGCCTTCTCCGAGACAGTATGAGGGCGAGGAGGAGAGGTGCGGTGGTGTGTTGGTTGTTTGGGAACTTGTGCCTCGTAAGGGGTGTTGTGGGAGGTGTATGGGAGAGGGAAAGAGAAGTGAGGAAGTTAAAGGAAGGGAGGGTGGAGATGAGATGGGTGGAAGGGTGGGAGATAAAGAGGTAAGGTCTACGAAAGGTTCTTTAAGTAAGCGAGGTGATGGGGAAGTTGAGAAGACTGATCAGGAGGTTATAGCAGAGTACTCGGCTGAGATTGAGATATAGGGCTTCTTTATCTTTATTGAATAATGATTCGCCTTGTGGCTCCTACAAATTTAGAGGAAATCACAAATAAAGTATGCTATACTAATTGTATAACCCTTATCCCGAACCTCTATAAGCTCCTCTCGCTCTCCTCTTAGGTACTAGAATACGTACCTTTATATTTAATAAAAAACCTCTCTTAAAATCCTAACTACTATAATCTTACTTTTCCTTTCTCTTTCAAAAACCCTTCCCTCTCGGTTATACTAATCCTCTTTCTATTCTTTACCCAAAGTCCTTCTATGCCCCCCTTCCGGGCCTCCCCCTCCCCAACATGATTCAGTGGCTACGAGTACTATAAGTAATTAAGAATGAGAGGAAATCAAAAATAGAGTATACTATGCTAATTATATAATTCTTGTTTTCTACCTTCATGAGCAAGCCCTTGCTCTTCTCTCGGGTACTGAAAACGAGACCTTTACATTGAGTCAGCGAATCCTCTTCTAATCGCTTATACATTCTATGTTAAGTACCACCTATACTTTCTTTCCTAAGGGTTTCTCTGGATACCATTACTAATCCTCTCCTCCTCATCACCCCTCACCTAATCAAAGAACTAACCACACCCCCTACCCATAACAACACCACTAGCCCCCAACCACCTAAACCTATCCCAGGAATTCATTTATCACACACATCACACACCAACCATCCTTACAAACTCCCTCCCTCTCTCTCCCCATCTCCACTTCCCCTCCCACATCCCCCTCAACAGCCTCTCTTTCTCATATCCGAAACCCTCCAATTTAGCAGAAGACTTAGTATCCATACCCCTTGAGAAAAATTACAACATTCCCTAAATTTCACATCAATTACTTACTTAGTTAGTTACTTAGGCTAGTTCATACCCCCTTAATCATGTTCTCATAATACAGTAGGAAGAGAAGAACCTCCACCACATCTCACCAGTAACCCACTTACGCTTAAGGTCTCCAAGTCCACATCCACAAACGTAAGAGCGCAGAGAGAGATATATCAGTAAGAGAACCGAGGAAAGCAAAGTAAAGAAAACTGTAAAAGCATATCCCTGTGGCCCTTAAGACGAGAGAGAGACGCGTTCGGGCGTGGAGTAGATATGCGTGATCCAACTAGAAGTACCGGAAGGCTTCTAGGATTTCTCACTTACCTAGATTAGATTCCCTTGCCGTGCCCTGTACATCATCATCCACTCCCTCATATACACCCCCCAAAACATCCACCGCCCCCTAGACCATCCCCCTGAGCTCACGCGAACTGTCTTAATCACAATCCTTCCCAGAAAACCTTAGATGCTCCGGAGTACGTACACTCCAGAGCTTGGATCTGTGATACCAGTGTTAGAGATTAGAATTTCGAGGAGACGGGGGAGTTTTTCTAACTCCAATACAACTGGATTAAGGGAATGAGAGGGCTTCTTATTTTTGATTTGATTGTGATTTTGGTTTTGATCTGCTTTGATCTCGGTGAAGGGAGGGAGATGAGATAGGTAAGATAAGCGAGGTGAGAAGTGAGATAGATACTACGTACCGAAATTCTCGCGTACTCCATCGTACATACCTACCTACCTTCTTTCCTCTCCAGTCTTCCCCTCCAGTACTACAGTACCATAGCACATTGATATCAACGCAAAGATTTCCAGGAAAGTAATATAATCATAAATCGTGAAAATACCCGCATGTATTATTAATGAACCCCGAAACCTCGAAAGTGGAGTGTTGGAATCGTGACATATTACATCTTCCTGATCTGATTATTTGAGAAAGGAGGAGGGGGGTAGATAGACAGGTATATAGTTTGTCTGCGTAACTAAAAAATTCTACGCTATTTCATCATGATTCATGAGAAAAGTTAGGAATTAAATAAGGTAGTTAGTTAGTGGATTCACAACTTACCTTGAAGTGTAATTCATGTTAAAGTATCTACGTATAGATCTATAGTTGTTGTCCATCGCTGTAAGTTAAACACATTATATTAAGAGGCACATCACAGTATCACTCACGTCACGCAAGTTTTATAGTACCTAGGTCAAAATTTCAAAAATCCCTAGATAAAATCCAAGTTTAAACCAAAAAATGCATTTTAACCATCGCTCCACCAGCTAGCTACCTCTACCCACAAAAGGAAAATTTGCGTTACTACCTCCTCCACCCCCTCTTCCCTCATAGGAACAGAGAATGCCAGTCCAAGACCGGACGGAGAGATGAAGGGGGGGGGGAAACGTGATCATGCCAATATCAATAAATACAAGATTGCCCCTATTCACACTACAAACCCATTTCCCATCTACTGCCCCGGCGCAATCAACTTGCCTTGCTCCAAGGCATTATGTTGCCAACCCCCAGCAAGCGCAGGACCTCCATTCTTCTCCGCAAAATCCTTCATCCTTGCCTCTAACTCGGGACGGAAGTGTCTAATAAGACCCTGGATGGGCCATGCGAAAGCCTCACCGAGCGCTATCGATGTAATTAGTAATGGATGAGTAATTCGCTAGTGATGCGAAAACTTACCACAGATAGTGTGGCCCTCCACCTGCTTTGTAAGCTCTTGCAACATGTCAATCTCTCTTTCTCTACCTTGACCTTTCTCAAATCGCTTCATGATTTGTTCCGTCCATTTGCTTCCTTCTCTACATGGTGTACATTGACCACATGATTCGTGTCTGTAAAAGTGACTTAATCTCGAAATGGCTCGAACCACATCGGTACTCTTATCCATGACGATAACTGCTGCTGTACCCAAACCAGACTGGCTGTCTTTCAGAGCATCAAAATCCATAAGTTGCTCATCACACACATTCTTTGGCAGAATAGGGGTAGATGATCCACCAGGAATGACAGCCTTCAAGTTGTCCCAACCTCCTCGAACACCACCACAGTGCTTGTCGATGAGCTCACGGAGAGGAATACTCATCTCTTCCTCAACGGTACATGGGTTGTTGACGTGGCCAGAAATACAGAAAAGTTTCGTTCCAGCATTTCGCTCTCGTCCAAACCCAGCGAACCAACTCCCACCTCTTCGGCAAATAGTTGGTGCTACAGCAATGGTCTCGACATTGGCTACTGTTGATGGGCATCCAAAAAGGCCAACGGCAGCTGGGAACGGAGGCTTTAGACGGGGCTTTCCAGGCTTTCCCTCTAAGGACTCAATGAGAGAAGTCTCCTCCCCACATACATATGCTCCCATTCCTCGATGGAGGTAGACATCAAAATCGTAGCCACTACCACAAGCGTTTTTACCAATCAATCCGTCCTTGTAGGCTTCCTGAATTGCGCGCTGAAGGACGGTCGCTTCATGGTAAAACTCGCCACGAATGTAAATATATGCAGCAGTACAGTTCATTGCGCGACCGGCAACCAAACATCCCTCGATCAACTTATGGGGATCCTTTCGCATAATCTCACGATCCTTGCAGGTTCCTGGCTCTCCCTCATCAGCATTGACTACCAGATATCGTGGTTTGTTGTCTTTGTCCCAATCCTTGAAGTTCATGAAGGACTACCGAGGTCAGCGAGCGTCCATGGCGGGATATATCTGCTACCTACCCATTTCATTCCGGAAGGAAATCCAGCGCCACCACGTCCTCGTAGACCGGAAGCCTTGATCTCAGAGATGATCTGTTCCAATTGTCAACATTATCCTATAGCCAAATATCAAAAGTATCAACAAGACTCCGTGCATACCCAGTCATGGCCCTTGGCCAAAATATCCTTCGTTCTATGCCAGTCTCCATACTTCTTCGCACTTGCCAAATCGGCACCGTGATGTCCATATAAGTTCTGAAAAATACGATCCTGATCCTTCAAGCCGCCGTACACTCGTTTTGGTGGAGGGGGAGCATCTTGGACGGTGGCAAGGCCTCGAGTTTGCTGGGAGGGGGCAAAGCTTGCGATTCTGGAGGTAGCGCACGCTGAGCTTGAGAGGACGCGGGTGGAGAGGGATGAGACCACTTTGGGCGAGGGCGCATGTCGCGATAGCATTGTGAATGGATGGTTGTGCTCAATTGAGCGGGTGTCGTCGTTGAATTGGGACGGATATGGACTTCTTGGTGTTGAAGTACGAATCGGAAGTCCACTCGTCAGAGGCAATCAATTGTGTCTGATTGGCTGCAGAGTGCAGTATACCAGGTAGTGCAATGCTGTGGGTGGCGGCGAAGCCGAGGTCACCCCGATGATGCAGAGCCACAGAGCTACCCAGTCAGTCCTTGATACCTCCCTCCTCCGCACGTACTCGTACTTAAATCTGTAGAAGCATGCGTTCTGCCCCCCTATACCCCCTCAATCTCAATATTCCGCCTATAGGGATTTATTCCGGGGTTCTTGACACTACCATTGCTATTGCTATTACTACCGCAGCTGCTACTTACAAGGAATTGTAGGCTCGTCAACGAGGAAGGGACTCGTACAACACCACAACACCACGACACCGCCTAGATCATACGAACCACACTATTTGCAGCAACTGATATTGCCTGCTTTACACACCCCCAGCATGTCATCCAAAAGACATTCCACCGCCCCTCCCCCACCCAAACCACCCACCCAATTCTCCAGCACCTCCAGCCTCATCATCGCAGACGCCGCCTCCCTCATCGGCACGCATCTCATCAGCCTCTCCTCCAACACTATCATCCACCCCCGAACGAAGCTCATCTCCACCTACGCCCCCATCACCGTGGGCAGCAATTGCATCCTCTCAGAACGGGCCACCATCGGTCTGCAGAGCGAGCCCTCCGAGGGTCTCTCCCAAGGCGTGGTCATCGCCGACTACGTGGTCGTCGAAGTCGGTGCAAGAGTCGAGGCAAAGTCGGTGGGAGAAGGCTGTATCATCGAGGTCAATTCCAAGATCGGAAAGGGCGCGGTTCTGGGAAAGGTAGGCAAAGCAATTCGCTCCCCAAGAGTAAGTCGGTCAGCGTTTGGCAATGGCTCACGGCTTTTAGCATTGTAAGATTGGACCCATGTGTGTGGTTGCGGAGAACGAAGAGCTTGCGGATTATACAGTGGTCTATGGAAATGGAATGCAGCGTGTAGATAGAAGTGGTGTTGAGCACTTGAAGTTCAAGATGATTGCTCGTCAGGTCGATGTCCTTCGGAAACTGATCCCAGGCAACTTGCCCAAATTCATCAACCGGACGTAGTGCGAGGTAAAAAAGAAAGCGGTAGAAATGACCCTAATCTGAGATTGGTATGAATACCTTTGATTTTAATGTGCTCTCCTGCTGGTGCAATATCTCCCTTGTCATACAAATACATAATCTTTTTGGCTTGATACCTCCTGTACGCCATCTTCAATAAAACAAAAACAAATGAAAAGCCGTTCCAAGCTATGCAGTAGCAAACTATCATACATGCAAAATGCACCAAATCTTCCTATGCCTCTAATTATTTTGCATATTCAGACCGCCTCCTCGCGGTCTCTTCCCTTGTGGTCCACCAATCATCAATCCATCATCCAGGGGCCGCTTTTGACCACCTCGCCCTTGTGGACTGTAAGATTGTGCCGATGCATTCAATCCTCCCCTTGGTCCAGGCCCAGGCCCAGGCACATTTCCTCTACCTCTACCAGGTCCTCCGCCTCGAGCTTGGTACATTTGTGGACCACCACGTGCTCCTCCTCTACCAGCTGGCCCTCCTCGCATAGTTGGAATGCCAGAGCCTCTAGTCGCATTGTTGGTAGGCTGAGGGATCTGTAATTCATTAGCAAGCAATCGTCAAAATTTAGGACGCAGACTTACTTGTGGTATTTGACTTGCCGGAACTGTTGGAGCACCATTGGAACCGAATGTGGTATTTGGGGATGGAGCTTGATCTTGGGGTAGAAAGACAGGCGTTTCTGTTTTGACATCCGCTGGCTTGGGTATTACATTTGCTATGGGGGTACCATTGCCATCTGATGGCGCATTCGGTTCTATCCATACGTTAGTGAAATCGGGAATCAACTTTTTCTGGTCGACATACCTTGGGTTGGTGGAGGAGCTTTCCAAACTTTGGCCACCTCCCACACCTCACCAACAGGCTTTTCGGGTGTTTCGCGTGCAGCCGTCTCGACAACGCTCAGCTTCCCAGCCGCGGATTTTGCTCTATTCTCAGCCATGTTCAGTTTGAGAGATGATTTCTTCTCTGTCATGAATACAGCTAGCTCGACCTTCTTTTCTGCTTCCAAGACCTGCTTGATAGTCTCTTCCTTGACCTTGACCATCTGCTCATCAATCTTCTTCTTTACGTTATTGGCAAGAATGCTTCTCGCGGTAGGGTTTGAAGCCAGAAACTCACGAAACTGGGAATCGCTCATCCCCGCGACAGCCATCATCGCCGATGATGCGCCTTGGCTCGGAGTCGATGGCGTCGCAGGTACATTGTTAGCTGCAGGCTTTGCAGGAGTTGGGGCAATTTGTAGCGGTTCAAGTCCAACTTCGACTGAGGGCGGTGGTGCGTTTGAGGTGACAGCCGCAGATCTGTTTTCCGCAAGCCAGATTTGCTTCTCCTGCTCGAGTTTCAATGTATATTGAGCTTCCAATTCCTTCTTTTGCGCTTCACGGGATTCGCTGAGTTTCTTGTTCAGGGCGGCCTTCATCTTCTCTGATCTGGCCTTTAATGTACCCTCCATGTCCTCTTCGACTTTAGCAGCGCGCTCCTCCTGCTCCTTAGCTTTCTTCTCTGCTTCAGCAATGCGCTCCTCCAGAGCCCTCTTCTCGCCATCAGAAACCCCCGCTGTCGAGATCTCATCAATCTGGCCCTCCTCGTTTCCATTGTTGGTGGTAGTGATAGCAATTTTCGACATTTGCTGAGCACGCGCCTCGGCAGCCTCAGTCATAGCCTTATCCCGGCCAGAGTTGGCAGCGTCTCGGTCAGAATTCGCCTTCTGAAGTTGCTCTCGAAGTGCTTTGAGTTCTGTTTCCAAGGCAGCCTTAGCCTTTCCGACTTCTTCCAACTCATTGCGGAGCTCGATGAGCTTTTGTTCAAGACCCTCATTATTTTGCGATGTAGTTGCCTGTACCGTAGGAGCTACAGCTTTGGTAGGTTGGGAAGCAATGGCCACAGCACGGTCACGTTCGGCCTTGACACTTTCAAGCTCTTGGCTGAGAGCGTTAACTTGTTGCACTGCGGCATCTTTTTCCCTAATTGCACTCTCAAGTTGCTGCTGGAGTCCGGATAGTTGCTGCTGGAGACTCTCCTTGTCGTGTATTGCGAGATCTCTCTCGGCAGTACGGTCTTTGATATCCTTGGTTTGGACTCGTGATCGCTCCTTGGCCTGGTCAATAAGTTTTTGTCGACTGGTAGCCCATGTCGCCTTCTCGCCTTCTAGGACCTGAATTTTGTCCTGGAAGGGTTGCTTTTCTTCCAGTAGAGCATCTCGCTCTCCTCGTAGCGTTTCAATGGTTGCTTTGAGTTGCTCCATCTCGGCAGGGTCAATTCGGTCGTATTTTGATATGATGTCCTGTGTTCGCTTTTGCCAACGGTCGCGATCTTCCTGTAACAAACGCATCTCGCCTTCTGTTGTCTCTTTGCCATGCTCGAGCTCGCGAATCTTGTTCTCGAGGGGCTGGATCTGCGACATGAGTTCCTCAACACGCTGGGTCTTCTCGGCTAGCTGGGCTTGAGCCTGGCGAGCTTCGTTCCGCAGAGTGATGCTACTTTCACGGAAAAGATTCAGTTCGTTCAACTTTTCCATAAGGTCCTTGTGTGCCATTGAGCTCCGGCTTCCATCTGCATGAAGGCGACGTTCCTGGTCAAGCTTCAGTCTGCTCTCATCAAGTTGCGATTGTGTGTAGTCCAGTTGCTGTTGGAGTCGCTTGGCTTCCTGGACCTTGAGCTCATATTGTACCTCGACAATTTCCTTTTCACGTCTCAAGAAAGCATTCAGCTCGTGTAGCCCATCGGCAGTTCGATCGTAGGTTGAGTCAGTAGCGGGAGAACCACTATCTCCAGTATCATTCAATGCGGACCGACTTTGCTGAAGTGCAGTTATCTGCGCCCCAACACCTTCCAGTTGCTGGTGGAGAAGCTTGTTCTGTGCATTGACATCGTCGCGACGAGATCGCAATTCAGCCAACTCCTGTTCCAGTTGCTGCCGCCGTTCTTCCCAAGAACTTTCACTCTGACTCAATGCAACTCGTGCAGATTCAGCATCGGCCTTGAGACCAGCCGACTCCGTCTTCAATTGGTTGTGCTCAGCACGCAAGTTTTGAAGAAGCTTTGCTGCTTCCGCATGTTTGACCAACTCATTTTCATAGTCTTGCTGAGCTTTGGTTGCGATGGCTGCTTGTGCACGAAGGTCTTGTTGATGGAACTGGGCAGCCGTGGCATGTCGTTCGTCTTCGTCCTTTAGTCGAGTTATTTCTTGCTCCAGAATTGCTCTCCCTTCCTCGGCCTGTCTAGCGACCTCGGATTGTTGGTTTCGCAAAAGGGTCAATTCGTTGTTGGTAGTGGCAAGCTCAGTGGATATGTCGTCGATACGTTGCTGTAGCTCCCGAATCTTGGAATCCTTCTCCTCGATGATACGATCCATTTCCTCATGGTACTGATCTTGCGTGGCATTGAGGCTCTGGAGCTCCTCTTCGGATGATTGACTGATGGATTTGTATTGCTCCATTTGACTCTTGGTGCTCTCCAGTTCTGTTTTAGCAAGGTCGAGATCTCTCTTAAGCTCTGAGTTTTCCAAAGCGAGCTCTTGTTCTCTGTCTGCCTCCTCTTGCGAGGGCTCTCCATTGTCGTTAGCTGTAGCCTCTGTAGCCACATTGGATTTTGTGGTTGGCCGTGGTTGGAGTAACTCCACTCGCTCCTCTGCGCTCTTGAGCTCAATCGTTAATTCGTCAACACGAGCTTGAAGGTGATCGCGGGTTGTTTTGGCAGCTACTAATTCCTCGCGCACCTGGCCTAAACTGCTAGCTAGGTCATCAATACGCTTTTGGTACTGTTGAGAGTCATATTCCTTCCGGAGTTGTGCCTTCTTGTTATCTTCGACTTCATCGCTTAGCTTGCGCTTTGTCGTGGACAATTCTGCTTCCAATCCTTCCACTTGGCTCTGAAGTCTTCGTCGCGTTTCAGACTCCGAAAGCTCTCTTTCGTTTTGAAGTGTCTGTTGGTTTGCAATCAGATTATTCAAGCGTGTACGTTCATTCATCAATCCTTCGTTGTCTTGGCTTAGTCGGTCCTGGATATCCTTCCACAATTTCTTCTCGGCCTTTAGGTTTGCGTTTTCGTTACGCATACTCTCAACGAGGCCCTTGGCTTCGATGAGATCCTCTGCGACCTGCTGCGTTCGAATATCTTGCTTGGCAGCTGCTTCTGATAGGGTCTGAGAGCGCTTTTGCAATTCTGAGTTTTCATTCTGCAACATTGTGTAGTTGGCGTGCAGCATCTCGTATCTCTCATTGGCGAACGTGAGCTGGCTACTAGTCTTTGCAATCTCAGCCTGAAGTGCGCCCTTTTCTAAGGAAAGCTTCTCCGTCTGATCCTTCAATGTCTTGCGATCAATGGATTGCTCTTCTCTGTATTGGTCGAAATGCGCCTGTAATTCTCTCAGCATTGTAGGATAGTTGTTGCTGCTTCCCGGGGGCTGTTCAATCGTAGACATGACTCCATTCTGATTTCCATCAATAGATTGACCAAACATAGAAGTAAGATCAGAGCCTGGTGGCATTTGTCCGCGGTGTTGCAGCATGCGGCGGAACATATCTCTCTCCTTGATGTAGCTTTCTGACCGAGTGAGTGTTGATTGAAGTTCGTCCTTGTAGTTCTCAATCTTGGCCTGGAGAATTTGAACCTCTTCGTGATCCTTCGCTGCTTGATTTTTTGCTGCCAAAGCCTCCTCGCTCTCCATCTGTTGTCCAAGCTGCCGGGTGATTTTCAGAAGCTCCTGATTCTTCTCCTGAAGCTCTGAAACATTTCTAAATACTGTCAAACGTTGGGTAATAAATCGATCAGTATCAGTAAGACCTTCAAGAGACTCTTCGCTGACTTCCCCACGAGCCATCCGTTCCAAATGTGATCGCTCAGACACGCTTAGTGCCTCTAAGCCTCTTTCTCTTGCGTCCAGCTCGCAGAGAAGCAGCTTGATTTGGGCACTGAGGTCACGCAGCTGTTGTTGAAGAATTTTGGACTCTGCTTGAGCCGTAGAAGCTTCGCTTTCAGCTTTTCGAAGGTCCTTCTTGGCACGGTCTCTCTCCGTCCCTGTCTGGTCTACAAACTTTGACATCTGCACCACCTCCTGTTGCAGACGTTCGTGCTCATTAGTCATTTCCTCCATTTCTGGCCCCTTAGCTTCTAGTTGTCGGATGATATCATCCATCTCGCTATTCAGACGTTGGTTTTTCGACTTCTCAGCCGCCAACTGACCCTTCACTTTATACAACTCATCGATAGCTTGAGTCGCAGTAATGGTCGTCTTACTTCTGACCGAACCTGGCGTACCAAAATGGGCAGGTGATCCACCTCTGAAAACAGAACCATTGAGTCCTTGGCGTGGTGTTGCTGGAGTTCCAGGACGGGATTGGGTAGATTCTAATCGGATTCGTGCTTGGGCAACCTCGCCCTCTAATTCCGCAATTCGATTTTCGGCTGCCTCTCGCTCTTGTCGCTCAGCCTCAGCTTCTTGTCGACATCTACCGACCTCCTCGGCTGCGTCATCCTTGGCTTTCTCAAGGCCAGCTTCCACCTCCTTTAGTCGACTACGGGCTGTTTCCGTTTGCTGGGAATGTAGCTCAGCAAGTCGATTTGCGCTTTCCAACTCTTGACGAAAGCTCTCTTCTGTCTTGGCGGCGGCTTCCTGTAATTGTTGAACCTTGATCAGAGAGTCCTCAGCCTTCTTCTGTACCTCATCGAGTCTGTTCCGAAGGGCCTGTTCCGTCTTCTTGAGGGCCTCAACATTTGCATTGGCATCCTCGTTCAGACGTTGAAGTTCGGCGATTCTAGCACCCTTCTCTTTTCGGAATTTTTGAGCTTCGGCACTCTTGGTCTTCAATTCGTTCTCAAACCACTCGGTGTTGCTCTTGGCCAATTCTACTTCCTGCTTGAGAGACTGTTCACGGAACTTGGCGCTAGATGCTGCAGAGTTGGCGTTTTGTACGGCTTGTTGAAGAGTGGTGATTTGTTGGCTAAGCTCCAAGCCCTTCTGGTGTTGTTTTTGTAATTCTTGGGCTAAATTATCGTTGGCGGTAGTCTTGGACTCGAGAACAGCAACAGTGTCGCGATTGGCAGACTCGAGAGATGATATGCGGGATCGTAAGGTTTCGACTTCGGATGTTGAGGTGGTGGAAGAGGACTTCAACGTCTGGAGCTCACTTTCCAAGGATGATCGCGCATTTTCTATGGTACAGCGTTAGCATTGAAGCCTATTAAAATCGGCATCGTGAAAAAACAACCTTCTTCTTTCAGTTTTGTCCGCACTTCTTCAACGGTCTTCTGCGCCTTCTCAACACTGGCTCGCAACCCCTCTATGCGCGTCTCTGAGCTTCTGACAGCATTTTCTAGCTCTATGTCGACACGAAGTTTGTCTGCCACGAGAACATCATGTTCGCGCGCCTTTGTTGTGACCGCGTCGAGCACAGAGCGGACGAGGTCGGCAGTTGGGGCATCGAGAACCGCAGTGATATTGTCTTCTGAAATATCGAGGTACCCTGACAGATACTCAACATCTAGTACTGCCGCAGCCATGATTAACAGCAGACAGTCATGAAGGATGTTGCAGCTCTTAGGCTCTGAGAGCTTGTCGATCGGGATAGGTATGGATTAGGTACTCCGTACGAACTGGCGGTCCTAGTGCGCTTCTGGCAAGAACGCGACGAAGCGGCAGTTTAGCGCATGGATATCTCGTATGGTGAGGGCGTGAGATCGGGTGCTCAAGATCGAAATCGATATCGTAATCAGGATGCGTGGCTCCTGTGGAGAGAGGATTGAAGAGTAAATAGAAAAAGAGAATTGTTGATGGGCATGGGCTTCGAGTTCTTTGAAGCTCAATGCTAGCCCAAGACGCTTTGCGCTAAACCTTAAACGTGTGACGCGCCAAGACTCCAGCGAAGAGTGCAGGTGAGAGTGGAGGTGGAGGTGGAAATGTCCGCCCCGCTTGCCCGGCGGCGTACCAGGCTAGTTCCAAGCAGTAAGGCTACTCGTACGCCGCATTGGAGGCTGAAGCTGAACCTACCTATGTATGCCAAAGCCGATTCACCTCAACCTCGCAAGGCCTTCTTTGTGTTATGGACCTCCATTATTCACCCCTCCAACGCGCGCATGCTTGAGTCTTGAGCCTTGACGCATGACGCGTTGTGCAAACAGCGGCGCCAATTTATTCCTATCCACATCTCTCAAGTGCTTCGACCGACCCGTTGCTTTTGCCCTCGCCCTCGCCTTGACCTTCGCACTCGATCTTCAACCCGCTGCATCTTCACACAGCAGCTAGCCCACTACGGAGGCACATCCGTCATCCCACTACATTTCCATCTCCATCTCCCTCTCAATCCGCCCCGTCCTCGTCCGCGAGACAATCGCAAGCACGATGTCTTCCTCCTATCTTAGCAAGCAGACGAAGCTCTTCAAAAGCGATGTGACTGCAGCTGCCGGCGGCGTCAGTAGTGCCAAACGCGCACCGGTCGTCAAGCAGCTCGCATCTGTCCCCTCTCCAGCACCTTCCAATACGTCTGTCACCTCGAAATCCGAAAAAGACAACAAGCGCAAGCGCGAAGCATCTACACCGGTTCCTGCGAATACTGTCTACTCCCAACCTGAGAAGACAGGCTACGGCACAGAAGCCTTCACGCAAGTGACCTATGTCATCGACTTCCTCAAGAACAAGGACGAGCCCAAGACCTTCCACGAGATTCTACAATACCTCAGTCAGCACAATGCCGATGAGGGCCAAAAGAAATTGATTGCGCAAATTCTTAGGCGACATCAGCGAGTCACCTTCACACCCGACCCAAACGATGCGAGCTGGCATGCTGGCCATTTTTCCCACAAACCTTTAATCAATGTTCGAAACAAGACCGATCTGATTGCCTATCTACAAAAGAAGGCTGATGCTCAGGGGGTGCTTGTCAAGGAACTCAAGGATGGATGGCCAGATTGCGAGGAGGCTATCAATGAATTGGAGGCTGAAAATAGAATTCTGGTTACCAGAACGAAGAAGGATAATCACGCACGCATGGTCTGGAGCAATGACCCGTCTCTCGTTCATGCTGTTGATCATGAATTCCAAGTGATGTGGCACCAGGTGCAGTTACCCTCGGTCGATGACACCGTTCGGTCACTCATCAACGCAAAGCAAAAGCCAGCCAGCGAGGATCCCAGCAAGCGTGCTCCCAAAGCTACAAAAGCAAAGGAGAAGAAGAAGAAAGCTCAACGAAAGGGTGGTAAAGTTACAAATACACATATGGCTCACTTGCTTGTTGACTACAAGGACAAGTACCACAAGTAAGGAACCTACCACACGAGAAAAATAATCACAAAGGTACCCCTGTACTACCAGGTTGGGGGGAAATGGACATGGCATCTTTCCAATGGCGTTGGCGTTTTGTGTCTGGACTGGGCGTCCTTCTTGAATGGTAACAAGGGGGACTATTGTCCCACATGGGCTTCTGTGTTACACTACACAATCTACTAAGAAATGATATTGAGCATTCTTTTAATTCCTCCCCGTCATTTTCCAGCTTAGTAAAATTACATTTTTGATCCTCATTCGATGGATGGGAGCCGATGAACAATTTTGCCGAATGCAATGCCGCCCCGCATGATTTCTAATTATGGAAATTCCCGCCTCCACTCCCAGCAATTTGATAAGTAATCGTGTAATTCCTCAAAGTTCTCTGCTTCTCCAGTGTTCCCTATTGAACGACCATATATTCTCTAAGCGCTGCATCCTTCTTTCCTAGAAATACCGTAGATTGTTCAGTTGCATGTTCCGCCCCACACTCCCAAAAATGACGAAATTCAACATTGAGATGTAAGAATCCCACGTCCGATTGTTTGGGGACTTCTGTCCACCCCCGTATTCAAATCATCATTGGTAACGACTATTGGCTAACGCAAGTTCAGAGTGAGCGACACGGTTTGTCCTTGGTGCTATGTTGGAAAGCAGAAGATGGATCGTGCAATCAAAGCCTACAAAGAGCAGCATCCCGAGTCCAACGATGAGTTCTCTACGACATGGAAGCCATTCTATCTTGATCCCACGGCTCCAAAAAAGAGTAAAACCACCCATTCATTGCTCACTGCCCGTCTTGGTCTTGTATTCTAACGCTCTTCCGGCTAGGTGTCGACAAGATCGCATATTACTCAACCAAATTCGGACCAGAGCGCATTGGCATGATGAACGAACGCCTTTCTCAAAGTAAAGCTCTTCTTTACACCCATAGATCTTTCCTTTTGCTAATACGACTCCCCAGTTGGAAAGGAGGCTGGTATCGCCTTCAAGCACGGTGGTAGAACGGGCAATACAAGAGACTCGCACCGGCTCATCCAACTCGGGAAATCCAAATCTCCCGCCACGCAGACTCGCGTGGTTGAAGAGCTATTCCGTACGTATTTTGAGAACGAGGGTGACATTACCGATCACGAAACCATTAAGAAAGCTGCTGTGAAAGCCGGACTTGATGAGAATGAGGTCCAGGATTGGTTGAGTACGGACAAGGGCGGGGAAGGCGTCGATATTGAAGTTGAGCAAGCGAGGAGATCTGGTGTTAGTGGAGTGCCAAATTTCACCCTCCAGGTATGTGTTCTCTTCAATCTGCTTCTTGTCTCATGCTGCTCCCCGATTTTTGGGCTACAGTCTTCTCAATGCTGGCAATCTTCTATTTGTGCGCTCCATTGGAATACTGCCAGATATGAAAATACTAACTCTAAGATCCTTGTAGGGCAAGTACGAAGTAGGCGGCGCCCAGGACTCAAGTGTATTTCTGAAGTTATTTGAGAAAATCAAGGCGGAAAGCACCTAGACTTGCGGTGGTTACTTGCGCCGATAAAAAGGGAGATTTTATTACCTATGAAATGGGGTGTCGATTCATATTAGGAGATTGTCTTAATTCAAATCCAGTTTTACCACCAGCCCCACAACGAATTGGCAAGGTACTATAATGTTATTTTGCTTAAAGTAAGCTGGAACCAGAAGAGAACTTCACTTTTATTGAAATTGGGATGCTGTAGAGATATCCTCAGAGAGAGGGGGGGGAAGGGGGTTTCATGTTTTCCTACAGACCCGGGACTGAACAGAATATAAATGTATTGAAACATTTCCCTCTTTGGCTGAAGCTTTCAGTTGTATTCGCAGGATCTCACGAATGCTATTGGTGTCGTGACTAGATGGGGCGTAGTTGTAAAAATCGGTAATTAATCAAAGTACCCACTCATTCTTTTGTAAATCATACCTACCCCTAGATAATGTCAAGTTAACTAAAGTAATTCCTGAATCTTACCTCCCAAATAAGGTGTAGTTCAATTAGTATCGCTTTGAAAGAGAGCTATCTTTATTTGTAGTATACCGAGTACGAAAAGCCAATGGATAAAGTAAAGTAATACACTCTTACTCATCCTTGTTCTAGTATTTCGTCCAAGGTAATCTCACTGGTTAAGCTAGCTTTTATTTATACGCTAGCTATTTCTTGAACTTACATCGCAATACTAGATATTCTTTACTATTCAGGGGTTAGTTAGTTAATTAACGTTGTGAAAATAGCTATGAATTACATGGTAGAATATAGATATATAAGTAATGAAGACTGTTTATATTTCCATATTTTGAAAGTAGATTTAACACGAAATTATCGAGTAATTAAAACTAAAGTGTTTTAGGATAGCCTAAGAAGGTGATCTGTATAGTGTTACAAGGCAGCTGGTTATTTCCAATACGCTGGAATATTTTACTGTATCTACGTAGCTACCTAGACTAATAATCAAGGATACTTCGCTTAATTGTAATAGAAACAACGTTCGACACTTGGAATACGGTTCCAAGGATTCCAGGATTCCAGGATTCCATTCCGGAGTGGAATATTCCAAAGGCTCTTTGATTTGGAATGGAATACCGGTATTCCAGAAGAATCAGGATAAGGCCTTGGAATTTGGATTTCCAAAGGATATATATACCTCACGTTTCAAGTAATAAGAGAGCTCTATAATTTTATAAAGTGAGGACCAAATTGTTATTATTACCTACGCCTAATTATTTCTCGTCGTCTTTTATATACAACTCTAGAGCCCAAATCTCTCCTGGTATTGATTCTTTTGATATGTCCTTAGATATAATACCCTAATCGAAAAGACAAATAATCCAAGTGGTGTTGGGGCTAAACGTAGGCTTCCTATTGGTTACTCGCACCGGAACTACTATTTTACGGGTCACGAGAGAAATTCTAATTAGAATTGCAAATAGTCCACGCTTTTGAATAGCTATACTGTTTGAAATGGAATATTCTATAGAGGGGTCTTGGAATGGAATGGAATTCCAAATGCCGATCGTTGAACAGAAAACAAGGTGCAAAAGCGTAAGTGAATATATGATGTAAAGCAGGCCGGATCCGATGCGACACAAGTCTAAGAGAATACGGTTGTACGAAGTAACAAGACAAAACTGTGGCAAGGAAAGACGCTTCAAAATCCTGAGTCGGTCTTCCTTAAGTGACGCGTTCTAAGATGGCAGAAACGGCCTCGACGTCATCTACTGGGAATCCATGCAGTACTGTAGGCATATATGCCTGTTACAGTTTATTTTTTCATCATTTCTTGCGAAGGCAATGATCCCACAATAGTTATTAGTTCAAAATGTGCTTATACGCAAGCAAGTAAGTGGACGAAAATTATTCGTCAAGTTTAAGGAGAAGCAGCTTCTGATGGGGCAGATGTCGCTAAGGAAAGGGTGGCTAAACGAGATATCCAGCAGTTCTGCCAAACAACCACCATACTCTCAACAGTGCATCCACGTGTAGGCTCTTGTGGCGTCTCATCTTTGTTTGGATGAGTCTTCGTGTCAGGGGTTGGCTTGAAGTTCCCGTTCAAACTTTGTTATACTGTCAGGGTAGGACGCTTGTTCTCAAGCTCGGATGTTCCTGGACGCCAAAGTGCCAGGTACTTCGTACTTCTAAAACGTCAAGATCATATGACGCAAACTGGATGCGATAACTGGGTCGAATGGAGACTCAAATGCTTGGGAAGACTGCTTGGTTCGCCAAACGACTTTATTTTGCGGGAAAAACGTCGAAAAGGTAGACACTCTTTCTCCAATTTAGGTGCACGGTTTACCTGGCAGTATGGCGTATGGAAGGGATAACTCCTTCCCTAGGATTTAAGAAGGGTTTGCATGCGATTTCCCAGGATAGAAACAGGGAAGGAAAGTATAAAATAGTTAGAACATCGTTATATAATTGGTACATGAATTAAATATGGTTTATAATTGTCCCTTAAAATACATTAGCCAATTTAACCTCCGGCAGTGCTTTTTCTGGTCTTATGGCCAAGTATATTTACCATTTTAAGGAGAGCGAGAGATGTGTATACATACCTAGGTATATGTGGGCTAGCCCGCCCCTCTTTTACTTCTGAAAACCCTTTTTCAAAGACTGAAGTTCACACCTGCGAAAGGTTTCTCCGTTACTACGAGTATACTGAAAAATATCATCTCGATTCTTTTTCAATATGCAAATCCAAAAGATCCTTGTTCTCGCTGCTCTAACGACAGGTGTGTATGGCAATTACACGATTGCAACTTGCGTGGGTAAAACTGTAAGTATAAACAATCGGTTGGTCCAGTGTCCAATCCAAATAAAACAAATATCCAGTTCTAACAAAATATATAGGGAATCAACAATGATATAACTACAACCTCCTGCAAATCTCTTTTTGCGGATACCAGCTGCTCTGATTGCAAAGTCGAACCAAAATCGGATGGCAGTGTACGTTGTAGAAGTTCCGGGATATTAATTGATCCTCTCAAGGTATATTGTTCTCGGTCCTTGAGTTTGGATGAGCGGATGCTGATCATAAGACGGAATAGTGGCTTCAGCAATGCACGAAAGACGGTGCTTCAGGAGCATCTGGAAACTCAATAGGATAGATAATCTTCGATCAGGAAGAGCTAGTCTCTTTTCTCTTCTAAAATTAAGACACGATGGACACAAGCAGTGTTGCCAATCGATGGTTAACCATTAATTTTAGGAGGTCAATGGTTGTTCAGTGGTAGTTGACAATTATTCTGAAGTACGGTCATTTGTAATTGGTCTAGAAAGGAGAACAGGTAGGCCATACGTTTGCAGGCCACCACAATGCTACTACAGTACCAATCTTCAAGCAAATACATATCGCAAAACCCAACTTCTGAATCCAAAGTGTGAATGTCTCTGGTACAAGGTAGGTGTCCTAGAGTTACTTTTTGAGGGAATTAATGCCTCAAGTGCTATAAAAAAGCGCTAATTTCATGGTGAACTTTTACGAGTATAAAATTTACTTTTGCTCTTATTTTAGACGTAACAGGGTTTCAAAAGGTGTAGCAAGTGTAGTGTGAAGGGGATTTCAGCATATATAGAGTGAATTGTAAGGTATCTATACTTTGGACCCCAAAGTCGCGTCTTAATAGTACATTGATGACTCAGATTTTAGGGTAATTACTACAGTGTTCTAAATATACTCCTAAACCAAGTAATAAACTATAAATCCTAAATTACAAAAGTTACTTTATATAGTAGGAAGAGCTAGAGAGTAGAGACGTCTATAAAATCTAGTCCGAATTATTCTATACTACAAGTCCTCTACTACGAGTGTGTCCTCTTATATTCCTATTTGCGCGACCTTTATTATACTTCCCGGTCTTATATACGTGTCTCGTATATACTAATAATATACCGTACCCCTATTCTCGTAAGCTCTATTATACCTGCCTATAAACACCTACTATTCCCCTTCTCGCTATCGTTATCGCTGTCGTAAAGTAGTATTATAAAGAAAGAAGAGAAATTACAACGGAGAGTAAGGTTAGATAAGTAGTTAATAATTGTTAGCGCGACAGGGACTGGCTAATTAAGCGAGGGCACACCAAAGTATCCCCTTTTCTATCCCTTTCTTTACAAGAGTAATCTATATTAATTATTTCAATAGAATTCAAAGTATATATAGTTACTTAAAGTTTAGTAGTATTATTATGTATACACTGTAAACACCTGGTCTAAACTTCCTCTCTTTCCAGCAAATCCTAAGTTCGTCGGCTCGCTCACATATCTCTAACCCAACTCGGCAGCAACAATAATAAGGGGTTCTGCTAATTCGCTTGGCCGTTAGAGCATCGGCATACAGCGTTACTATAATACACAATCCCACATTAGTAACAAGCTCCATGTACATTTTAAGATAATTTAAGATAAACTGAATTAGAATAAAAGGGTGTTAAGTATATAAATAAACACTCACACGCAGGATGCGTCTCCTGTCATACATATGCCACAGTCCTTTGCTGTCTTACATTCTGCTGCTACCATTCCGGCAAAGAGCGCGAAGACTGTGAGGAGGATTTTTGCGGATGGGAATTGCATTTTTGGATGGTTGTTTGAGGCGACTTTTGAGGTGTTGGCAAATGTCGAATTTGTGTGGTTGTATATAAACAGAGGGAGACAGATAAATTAATAAAATATGTAAGAAGATAATTATAAGGAATAAAAGTTGGATATTTTGCTCTTTACATACATCGTATTCCCTCCTTGGAGTCGTGCGCGTAGTTCTTACATGTAACCTTGGAGGTTTGAGGTGTCCACTTTTAGTCTTAGTACTATACTTGAGGTAATTCTGACCTTACTACGAAGTATACCAGTGGTAAACCCAACAGCTTGGCCATATCGGATGAAACCCTTTGATTGCTAATACAGATGAACCTAGATAAAAGGGTATTCATAAATATCAGTGAATAATGATGGAGTCAAAGATAGGTCAGGAATAGGATATTAATTGTAGGATCTGAAGCTATCTACAGTATATGAATAAGTGGATACGGTAGTGTTCCAGAATCACATGCTAGATACGCGGTACTCACTATATTAGATCTAGAAGGATATAACGGAGGTTAGTAACACTACTTAGTATTATAGGATATGTTTTGCGTAGCGAGGGTGACTAAGCACCACACATGCCTAGTTCCGAGTTATCTGTCCTTTCTAGTATAACAACAACAATAACAACAACCATGATTTAGTAGGATTATTGTTTATACGCTAGCGCGGGCTTTTCTCTTTAATTCCCGCTACTAACCCCGAACTTTCCACCTATTTTATATAATTAGTTAGGCCTTACTTCGTGAATGAGCGCTAGGTAGCCTAGGCACCGCTTACGAGGTTGCGAATAGCCTTACAAGCGCCCTAGGGGCTGTTTGACCTAAATACCGTACCACTTACTCATGATAGTAACCTCGAGCGCGAATAGCCTCGCGATTACCCGATTAGGTAATCGATCCTGTACTATACCCCCGCCCTCGTCGTATATACGAACCCGAGACGAGTAAATCAAGGGGTTCTACCCGATATAGCCAAGCTCTTTAGTTCACTACTGGTATAGTAACGTCGGGTTAGAATAACCGCAAGTATTAAGATAAAAAGTGGACACACCAAACTGCCACGGTTATATGTACACGTATGACCCCAAGGGAGGGAATATAATATATATAAAGAGCCAACTATCCTACCATTATTCCTTATAATTACCCTCTCATATACATTATCAACCATCCAAGATGTAATTCCCATCCGCGAAAATCGCCCTCACAGCCTTCGCGCTCTTCGCCGGAACGGTAGAAGCATGTCAGACAGCTGACGACTGTAGCGTATGTGGGACAGGAGCTCAAACCTGTGTATAAGTGTCTTTTCCTACAGTATTTACTTTACCTTAAAAGGATGCATGGAGCTTGTTGCTAATAGTGGATATCGTATTATAGCAAAGGTCAATGCCATTGCGAGGTACTATCATGAACGTTACTGCCGTTGATGCCGAGTTGGGTTGGATGTACTTGGGAGCCGAAAAACTTGGGATCGAAGGGTGACTTGTGACTTTGTCGAGAAAAGGAGGAAGTTTAGGCCCAGGTGTTTGCTGTGCATACATAATAATATCACCAAACTTCAAGCAATTACATATACTTCGACTTCCATCGAAATAACTAATGTGAATTGCTCTTTAAAAGTACTTTGTCTAATAATATACACGATCTCAAGTCTGTAAACCGTGATGTATAACACGCCCTTAATGTTATGCTCCGAAGTAAGAATGAGCCAGAGGCTTATAGTGCATACATAACACCACCACTAAACATCAAGTAAATACACATGCTTCGACATTCATCATAATAACCAAAGTGAAATACTCTAAAAAGTCGCTACTGCATGTCCAATAATACACACGATGCATCAGTAAACCGTACCTAGTACCCAACACACCCCTTACATCGTACTACCACCGTCCCATCCATCTCGCTCCTCGCCTCCTAGTATCTTTGTCCATAATATACAGGATGAAAAAATGAGAGAAAACGATAGGAAATTCCTGGGGTATAAAATGCAAGCCCTAACTCTCTTCGCCCATGGAGCCCAGAAGAAGAAGAAGAAGAAGAAGAAGAAGGGGTATGTATGGAACAAAGGAAAAAAGAAAATACAAGGTATGTAAGTAAGTGTACTGCGTTCTATGCTTGGAAACCCCCACCCCCTCCCCCCCCC